TTGTATTAATAGGGCTTAATACATGGGCCCGCCTCATGTTAGTTTTCTGTAATGCAAAATTTTTAAATAAAAATCACGTGGCTGCCTTAACTTGGACAGACCTCATGTTAATTCGCGACATTTATTATAACATCTGTGAATTAATACGGTCCTGGGTTTTATTTTCATTCATCATACTGTACACATGAAGGGTACGTAGTACTGGTTACATTAAATATTGAGACAGTATTTTAGACAATATATGCTCACGTGTACAAGCGCACATATATAAGGTGTGAAAAATAGGTGCGAAAAATAGGCAACGCATAACAATATATGATGAACAGAGTCACGTGAACCAATCAAGTGCTGAGAATTGTACACGCATATTAACTTGCCCGTAAACCATATACTACGTTGTACATTGTACAAACTCCATTCCTGGTATACAGAAATAATACAGCATATACTTACAAGGTCAGTGTGAATAATAAGATTTTTGTGCAAAAACGCAATACCAGATACTATTTCTTTGGCGATACGCAATTTATCAATCTGTTGCAAATTTAAAAAATTATTTTTCAAATAATTTCGCAAATCTCCTTCCTCAGCAAATTCCATAACTGTACTAAATGGATTTATTGTTATTGCATAATATTTAATAATGTTCGGATGATTGCAAACTTTTTGCATCATTTCAAACGTCTGAATGTTGTCAAAAATTTTAATATTGTTCGAGAATTTGATTGCAACAGTGATTCCACTTTTTAATTTAACCTTACTTACATATCCAAACTTTCCTTCATGGATCTTTTTTAAATCAGTAAATTCATTAATGTCACAATATTTAACGTTCCTTTCTGACATTGATTTTTCAAATCACACTGTCGAAATAATTTTTTATGGTGATTCAAAATTCTGATTAGGTTTTGTGCTGAGTGAAGGGGCGAAATTGACAAAAAAATATTTTCGCTGAAAATTGATTTTTGTATTATAAGTTCTGTAATAAATTATAAGAAAATAAAACCTTTAAAGAATTATACTACAAAATTTTATTAAGATAACAGCATTTGTTCCTTAGTGAAAAATGGTTTTAGACTAATTTTAAATTAGTTAAGCTTAAAAAATTTTTTTTGAAAATTGTCAATTCGTCCCTCTAGACCATGTATTTATAAAAGAAAATTGTCACGGAGAACAAGTTATAATTATAAGTAAAAGACTATAAATATTATTAATAAGACGGTGGGTTTTGAAAAAATGAGACGCGTGGTATTCGACACAAAAAAAAACAATAATCATGTCCGTTAATGCTGGAATTTTTATTCCGGAAGGAAAAAATTTTCTCAAGTATTTCTGTCATTTTTTGTACCGTCGTAAATTTAATGCACCAACCAAAAGTGTATCCAGAATATTTTGTGTGACTTGAACGGGCTCATTTCAAATCTAACTATATAATACAGTAATATGTACAGTTTATAGTTTGTTCATGTTTATGTGAATAGAATTTTATTTCTTATTAGTTAAAGTGTACGTTTAGTTTCTTAATTAGGGAGACGATTATTACAATAACATCGCGTCAGTATCGCGCCACAATGACTATAAAGACATTATATAAAGTATATGTATTTTTTGATTTACATTTAAATATATTACTTGATTAGGGTAGTGACAGATATTACGTAATATTTTTTACTATGCCCTCTCCTCCTTTCCCCCATGTAAGAGAAATTTGATTGGCTATTATAAATTTATACATTGAACATAAGATATCTGTCACTACCCTTATTGCTCGTTACATTATCATTGATACTAATAGAGAATTTTGTGAAGCATTAGAATATGCAGATAACCTAAATAGTTAACGAATTCCAGCCATAAGCCAGGCGTCTGAATTTGAATGAAACGTAATTGTTAAGTATGAATATTACTGTAAATAAATTGATAAAAAAAATTGAATCTGAATCCATATTCAAGTCATGTTGACAATGATTATTTATTTCAAGTGTTTTTTATTAATCATAAGTCCTAAAAAATAAAATTTTCGATATTACGCAGAGACAAAAATGAAAATCCGATATGCAAAAGTTGATAAATAATAAAGCTGTGATTTCATATTATCCCAACTGAATCCAAGTATGGAAACTGTCTCCCCCAAAGGTTATATATATATATATATGTACAGTAGGCCTCGAGTTTTTCCTGACAACAGAGATGCATGAATCCAACAATTTGGTTTTATATAAACATTTATTATCCACTAGTGAAAAACAAATTTCTTCTGGGAACTCTTTCTAAACTCTTTCTTAAACTTTTCCCATTCCCATAAATGAACGATATGCCTATCTCCAAGTAAGTATTTTTTTCCTGCATGAATGAATAAATAAGATGATACCACGTACAATATTGAAAATTTTAAATTCATAAGAAGCATTTGATTTTTTATTTAAAAATAAATATTTTATTTTAAAAAAAAATTAATTTTTTTTAATATTATGTAAAACAAATAATTTTTTTTTAAAAAACATGAGAAATATGTTTAGATTTCCAACATTTTTATACTAATATAATTCATATGGCATAACTTTTTTGTATATATTATTACGCCTTTACTTTCTTACCTAGCTATAGGTATCGACTATAGTGATGCTTGACGAAATTGATTTTATTAGTAGACGAAATTAAACCTGACGAAATGACGAAACTCTTGACGAAATT